AGACAGAGTCTCGTTCTGTCATCCAGGTGGTATGCAGTAGTGTAATCTCAGCTCACTGCAACCTCCACCTCCCGGGTTCAAACAATTCTGCCTCAGCCTCCTGAGTAGCTAGGACTACAGGCATACACCACCACGCCCAGCTAGTTTTGTATTTTTAGTAGAGATGGGGTTTTGCCATGTTGGCCAGGCTGGTCTCGAACTCCTGACCTCAGGTGATCCGCCCACCTCAGCCTCCCAAAGTGCTGATATTACAGGCATGAGCCACCGCGCCCGGCCTAGGACTTTTAGTTTTAATACCAGGACAATCCAGGACATGGAGGAGCAATCAGACCCCTTACTGCCCACTCCTTGACAGAGCTGGGAGAAGGGATCAAAGGGACCTGCATGGAGGGACTGAATCAGAGAGTGGGGCTTCAAGGAGACTTGTGAGCATAAGAGCAACACGGGCTCCAAAGCCAGAAGGGACAGGAAAACGCCTGCCTACTTCCATGGGCAGCAGATCCGGAAGGGACCACAGGACCCTGCCATCCCTCTCCTTTGCTTCACCCTCCTCACTTGTTCACCTCCCCGCACCTGTCCACTGAGAGCCCTTCAGACAGCTGCTGCTGGGCAGTGGAGGGGTGTCCCCCAGGACAGGGCGGAGGAGGGATCTTGGCCGTGGAGGTGGCATCCCTCTGGACCCTGGGGCCTCCCTGATGCGAGCCTCCCCCGGGGGATTTTAGGCCAGGCCCTTGGCCCAATCCTGGCCACTGTGTCCCCTCCACCTGCCCACAGAGCAGTGTCGGGCACTCCAGATCCAGGGGATGAAAGAGAATACGGACCAGAACAAGGCCACGCTGGCTCTCCTGCGCAGCAACATCCGCCGCGGGGCCCAGGACTGGGCTTTGGCCAAGAAGGTGCACAAATGCCGCCCCTCCCCTCTGCCTGGGGAGCAGGGCAGGAGCTGAGAACACACACACTCGGAGGGCGGGCACCTCCTCTCGCCCCCACCCCAATCTTTCTGGATCCAGGGGGCATGTGAGGAGGGGCTCTGCTAGGACCTGTGCCCTGGGCTCCAGTCACCCCAGCATCCGATGGGCAGGTTCCCCATCACCCACCCCGGAGGGCTTGGCTTCTGTGAGCCCACATCCTGCAGCAGGGGCCCCCTCTGGCTCTCCGGCCAGCTAGGGGACACCTGGGCCCGCCTCTGCATACCCCCCCACCACATCGCCTCCGAACTTGGATGGCCAGGATGGAGTCCCGCGGCTCTCTGCTCTTCGTGAGAGCAGGGGTCTCGCTACTGGGCTGGAATGGGATACAAGAGGCCCTGGGGAGAATGCCTGGAGGGGCCAGCGGCTGCGGGTGAGCAAAGGGCCCGTCCTAGCTCAGCCGCCGCCGCTCCGCAGTATGACCAGTGGACCATCTCCAAGGCCTGCGGGAAAAACTTGCCTTTGCGACTGGCGCACTGCCGCAGTACCATGGAGGTAACCAGGCAGGAGGGGCCTCGAGACCCAACCCTCCCCACCCCTGCCAGCGCACCCCGCCCACTAGATGTTGCGGAGCCGACAAGGGACGGAGCAGGTGCCCAGCCCCAGGGTCCCTGTGGGGGTTGCCATGAGCCTCCATCCGCCCGCCTGCTGGCGAGCTCCATGGCGGCCCCCTGCGCAACCACGAGCGGGCGGTGCCCTTCCCGACCCAGGTGGCGCGGGAGAAGCTGCGCAAGTACGTCTTCGACCGCGTGAACACGCACAACCTACTGATCCACCTGGTGCGGCGGCGCGGGCAGAAGCTGGAGAGCATGCAGCTGGAGCTGGCCAGTCTGCGGAGCCAGCCGGACGCCAGCAAGGAGGAGCTGCGGCTGCTGCAGGTGGAAAGGCGGGGCTGGGAGGGCGGGGCGGGGTCCACTGGGGCCGGGCTCACGGGAGGGGCGGAGCCACCGGGGGCGGGACTCGCGGGAGGGGCGGGTCCACTGGGGAGGGCTCAATGGAGGGGCGGGGCTAAGAGAGCACGACCCCCTCCGGAGAAAGCCCAGCCCCGACACCATCCGGCGGCAGGTCCCCACGCCCTCTCACTGCGCCCTCGGTCCGCCCCAGATCATCCGCCAGCTGGAGAACAACATCGAGAAGACAATGATCAAGATCATCACCAGCCAGAACATCCACCTGCTGTATTTGGACCTGCTGGATTATCTGAAGACAGTGAGCCCAGCGGCCCGGGGAGGGCGGGGGTCCGGGGCTGGGATCTGGGAGGGGCGGGAGGGGCGGGAGCGTCCTGGGGCGGAGCCACCCCGCACCCGCCAGAGAGGGAGCTCTGCTGGAGCACCGGCTACGCAGGACGCCAAGGCATGTGGAAAACGTTTTTTAAAACTGAGGAGGCACAGCGAGACAGACGTGGAGGAGCA